GTTTTTTTTTTTTGGGGGGGGGGGGGGGGGCAGTGGGGTGAAGACGATTCAAAATATAATTTAAACAAAGTTATTTGTCTTGCAAAAGAAACATTATGACAAAACAAATGAGAAATATTTCAGACTCTGCACCAAAAATAAATCACACTTTTATTATGACCTAACAGACATAGACTAAAGTCAATAAAACTCAGTTTTGGGTGGCTATATACCAGCATTTTATCAGCCATCAAACGCTATTTGACAGGACAACCTTGACGGTACATGGGATGCCTTTGTTGTTCACTGCTTAATAAAATGAGATTCAAAGCATTTATCAGCCCAGTGCTTTCCACTGAGTCAGCCCTGCTGTCAAAACAGGAACATGAAGGGGTATATGTGTGTCCCGCAGACTCACCCTCTACAGCTCTTTTGAAGAAAACCTTGCAGCTGCCACAGGTGAGCACCCCATAATGACACCCAGAGGCCTCATCGGAGCACACCAGGCAGATCTTATGGGTGTTTCCGCCAGGCTTGACTGATCCAGACGAACTGGAGCTGCTCGCTTCAGGCCTGGCCAAAGAGCTGGAACACAAAAAAATAAGGACAGTTTAAGACATTTCAAATGAAATGAAATATATATAGTTCAATCATGACAACTCTCGGAAGATTTTAGCATGGTGATGGATATGACAATGTTAATGTATTTGGTCTTGGCGGAACAGATCTGCTACGCTGCTGCTGAATCGCTGCTGCTGTTGGTTATTGCTGTGGTTGTAGATTATTGGGGAAGTCGTGGCCTAATGGTTAGAGAGTCGGACTCATAACCCAAAGGTTGTGGGTTCGAGTCTCGTACCAGCAGGGATTGTAGGTGGGGGGAGTGAATGTACAGCACTCTCTCCCACCTTCAATACCACGACTGAGGTGCCCTTGAGCAAGGCACCGAACCCCAACTGCTCCCCGCGCGTCACTTCACGTCACTTCACTTATTGCTGCTGCTGCAATCAAGTATAGGAACTTGCTACTGCCAATGCATATGGCGATACGGTGCCATGAGTATTTAAGACATACTGCTGCTGCACAAATAGCATATAAAATAACCCATAGCAGATCTATACAGGTGGAGCTGGGGAAAGTGGAGTGTTTCAGAGAAACTCTGAAAGCGCGCTGCAGGAATCTCTAGTAAATGCTAGCCACCCATATAAATGCAAGGCAGTAAGCTCATTGACTGCATATGCAGCATGAACCAATCAGCTGTGCCAAGTCGTTTAACTCTCTGAATATTACGTTATCATTACGCCATCTAGAGTTTCATGACTGAACTATATATATAACTTGTATACAATCCAGACCCAGATATTACATTAGATATCAAGTGGCCACCCATCAGAGTATTTAAATTAGTAAATGTTTAGACGACACCATTTTCAACTAAAAAACGAAATGTTTTTATGCATTTTGGCCGTTCATTTACACGACAAGGGTGTTTTTGGGGCTTGAAAAAACAAACGTTTGAAAACAATACCGTTATTATCTCTGTGTAAACTACAAAAACATTTTTAAAAAAGTAACATCGCCAACTACTGGCCTGGAAAGAATAATACAGCATTTTTTGTTGTTTTCGTGGATCCGTGTGAACGGGGGTCGTTTCAATAACGTTGTCGTCTGTACACAAAATTAAAAAAGGAATAATATATTTTTTTAAATAAATAAAAAAATAAAACGTTGTTTTTAATACATTGTTGTCATGTAAACGCACCCTTCGTATTTAAAGTAGCTTGCTTTTACCAAGTGCAATTTGCACTAAAGTAGACAAATTGGACGAAACAAGATTTTCTCCTCCCGTTTTATATTTGATAAGCCTTCTTGTAGGAGTTTCCCTATTTAAATTTAAGTTTTTTAATTAATCACGCAAGGTGATTTACCAAGGTTTGCGGGAGTCGATTTACTGGTATTTGCGGCATTATTTAACGCCCAAAGAAAGCAAGTCTTGCACCTGGGGACTCACTGTCCTGCAAAACTTAGCTAAAATCCTAATCAAAGGATTTACTTGGAAAAACCACAGGCCACGTGTCCTGAGGCAGGTTGGTTAGAAAATTTGCAGGACAGTTGGTCCGCAGGAGCAGGGTTCAAGACCTAGGTCTTAACCCATTTTTGCATCGGTGTTGTTAGTAGATTACACGCACCTGATTATCATCGGTCATTATGGAAATGGATACGCTGGATGTGTCTGTGTTCTTTAATGTGTGTATGTCAGCAGATCACCTGCAGAACTTTCCACTCCCCGCACTTTTATGATAATTTTCCGTTTAGTAAAATTAGTAAAACTAAATTCTGACTACTGATACTGATAAGCTGACAATTATTTTCATGTCACAAATTATATACTTCATGTTAAATAAATTCAAAATAAAATCATTAAAATAATTTATTCTGCATGCTACAAGTGAATTTAGGCATCAACTTTATCATTGCATATTCATAACAATGTTATTAAATGATTTGCGTTTTTAAAGACTGACTTCAAGTGAGTGTTAGATGAGTTATCAAATCGAAATATGTATCCAACATCAACCATTACATTAAGAAATATATAATAATAATAATAATAATAATAATAAGTAATATCAGCTGACAACAGAAATTGTACCAATATATAATGCATACTTAAAGAAAATAAATTTGTGATGCTATATATATTTTCTTATATTCAGACTATGATTCCAGCCCAAACACACGAAGGATTTAAAGCGTTTGATATTCTGAGATGATTTTATAACACATTATTTCATGCATCTCCTAACAATGAGGTGTGTGTTTCTATGTTTCTGTGTACCTAGCTGTTTTAAAGTCCCCCTGCAGACACTAATTGTATCCCTTAAAACTCATCTTTGACAATCAAAATGACATATTTAAATGTTTTTCCCCCCATAAAAGTAATTTATGTCTTAAAATGGATTGAATATAACTCTACACCTTTACCTCTTTTAGGGCCAGATTTACTAAACAGGGCAAATTAGAGCGAGAGCGCAATTCCAAAAAAAGCACAAAAGGAAGTGGACATTGTGATTGACTGACAATGCACAAATTAAAGAACACAGACGCAGCCAGATCATTTCCATAATGACCAACACAATCTACCAAGAGCAGCGCAAATTAGCGTCTGCTTTAAGACATGCTTTTTTGGAGCTTTAAATAATGGCGCAAATACCAGTAATTTGACGAGCGCAAACGTTAGTAAATTGCATTGCGTGATACATTTTAAAGGGGTCATATGATGCGATTTTAAGTTTTCCTTTCTCTTTGGAGTGTTACAAACGGTTCATGAATAGATAAGATCCCTAAAGTTGCAAAGACTAAAGTCTCAAACCCAAAGATATATTCTTTATAAAAGTTAAGACTGGTCCACGCCTTCCTAAAACGCCTCATTTAAACACGCCCCCACATGTCTACGTCACTGTGTGGGAAGATTTGCATAACACAGCCCAAATGTTCACGCAAAGAAAGAAGGTGTAACTTTGATTCTCGCTGTAGTATTGTTGCCGCCGCCGCCATGTCGTAGAGATGCCGTGTATTTCGTTGTGAAAGCGAAACTACTTTGTTTGGCCTTTCAAAAGAGGACACAACTAGAAATCAGTGGTTAAGTTGTATTTACAACACTGTTCCAGAACACTTCAACCCAAATATTCAGATGTGAGCAACGCATTTTACGGAGGACGAGGACTGTTTCCTGGGAGAGTAGCCTACAATGCCGGTGTTCTGACAAATAATGCTGACTCACAGCCTGTAAGTACGCTTTTAAAGGATTTGCCACTGATGATTCAAACGCGAGTTGAGCAGTGTAGAGTAGTGCCTGTTTTTTTTGTCGTTTCTCTGATCACAAATGCAGACATGGTTTTATGTTTACTCTGCGCGATGCAACTATTTTTTAGCAACGTCATATGACCCCTTTAATACTCTCCTCTCACAGATTTTGCATCTGAAAGGGAAACTCCTACAAATGCATATCCAATAAGGTCAGGTGTAAAAATAACTGCGCCACACGGACCATTTATCCGCTCGGATCAAAGTTCAAACTGCCGCGCGGTGTGAGCTCACTAGAGCAGATGCATTTACTGAGTAACTTTACTCGGTCACGTGAGCACTAAACAGTGCTGTGAGATCCAGTGTGAAGCGCGAATAGAGCTATGAGCACAAATGACTCGGTGATTTAAACTAGTTTAAAGCCAAACAGGGAAAACCCTGTGTGCAACGAGACAGTCAGAAGGCTTTTCAATCTACACGTCGCTATCATTTACCATGGATTTACTGTAGTAACACTCACTGCACCATGGTATTGTGGCAGAAATGTGGGATATTCAGGATTAATTTTATTACAGGAGTAATGGTATATAATTATAGTATGTATTTGTGATTAAGCTATAGCTTGTGTGCATTTATACTGAATATTTTTAGACTACTGTTTTTCATACAAATAGGCTACTTAAAAACCATATAGTTATATTTTTACCATGGTATTGAGGTGCTATATTGTGTGGTTTTAACTGTGTTTATCATGATTTAAATGTATGCTACTATGGGAGACCAATGCTTAATTAAAATAAACTAAACTTGGTCAGAATAAATTTAACCGTATAAAACTGAGGTTGCTACAATTTTTACAGATGTTATCGATTTTGAGAATGAACAAATATCTGCATCCTATAACTCATCCTATAACTCAAGCTACTATCAAATGTGCATTTCTAAGAGACAAAAAAGTGATATTATTATAATAACTGAACTGGCGTTCTGACACAGCGAGCTTCATGCTTTCTAACCTTATCTTCACTTTATGTTGCAATTACTCCACTTATTATACATATAAAATACAAGAAGTTTACATCAAATAGTCCCATATTCATTATTGTGACCACAAAGTCTGTTTACAATGTCTACCATTGTAGCATATTTACAGTACATCTGCCAATGCATGTATAAAGTGTGTGCATATATATATATATATATACAGTACACAGAGAGAGTGTATCTTGTATGCATCATACATATATTTCTTTAACTCTCTGCACAACTCTCTATACACTCTGTATAATTGAAGTGTGCACCAAACATACATTCCTATAGGAATATACTGTACAAGTATCGGATTGGGACTTGGTATCGGCAGATACTCAATATTAAATGACTCTGATCGGATTGGGGGCACAGATATGTCTATGATTGGCTACACTGCTCATCACTGCAAAAACACGCTGTAAATAAAAACCTATGACCAGCGGATGAAAAGTCACGTCCCGCAGGTTGATGGGATAAGTTACATGTTTGTGACGGGCAGTTTCAAAACATATTTCTGAGACTGTCTTTTTTACACCACAGTTTTAAGGAGAAAATGCTGAACAATGGTGTTGACTCATGGTTTGTCTCCAAGCACTTTAAGAACACCTGACAGACAGACATGTAAACAACGCTAAAAACTTGATTTTTCACCACGGGGGGTTTTAAAAATCTGTTCAGATTACAAAATGTGTGTAGAGCAATCCAGCATTTAGTGTTCAACATGACGCCATCTGAGGTTAACACTACTA